ATTAGATCTATTTGTTTATTTATCAAATAAAAACTTTTTATAGTATATATTTATTCTAATATTGTATAATTTAAAGCGCGCTGCGGCTAAAAACTGAGATTAGCATAGCTAATCGGGCCAAAATCAGGTGATTCAAAGTTGTACTTATTTACAGTTATACTGTATATAAGTGCTATTGAAATGCCTGGTTATAGTGTTACCCTAAATAGGTAAAATTAAATAATTATCCTGTTAACTCCAAACGACCAAGCCTAAACAGTGTAGCAAACGAATTTGGGCTTGCCAAAGCTACACTTCGGCGAGCCACAAAAAATGGTGGCCCACTTGGTCGTCCAGGACTATCAACTGTTCTTATGAAACAAGAGGAGGATCAACTTGCTGGTTATTGTATTAATATGCAAAAGCTTGGATTTGGCCTAACTAAAGAAGGAGGCAGTCATTGTGTATTAGAAATTATGAAACAAAAAAAGCAAAAACATCCATTTGGAGATAAAGGGCCAAGCCATGACTGGTGGAAGCGCTTCATGAGAGACCACCCTGAACTATCAATTTGTACTCCCCAAGAATTATCAGAAGCACGTGCCCAACGGGCAAATGCAACAATAGTTAATGATCACTTTAAAAAACTTCAAGAAATTGTTTATGAGAATTCACTTACCATTGTGCAGATTTGGAACATGGACAAAACTGGTTTCATCCTTGTTCCCAAATCTGAGAAAGTCCTAGCTCGAAAAGGTGCATGCCAAGTTCACAAGGTTTCACATAGAAATTCTCATGAACACATTTCCCTAGTGCCAACAATATCAGCATTAGGAGCATATATTCCACCTTTAATCATTTATAAAGGTGTTCGCGCAATTTCTGGCCTTTTAGAAGGTGCACCTTCTGGAACAGTAATAGGTTTCACTGACACCAAATATATGTGTGAAGACCTTTTTCAAAAGTATCTTAACCATTTTGTTAGTTCAATTCCACCAATTCGCCCAGTCTTATTAATGTTAGATGGTTACAAAAGTCATATTAATTACACAAGTGCTGACTTTTATCATCAAAATGGAATTATGCTTTACACACTTCTACCTCATACAACCCACGTTTTGCAACCGTTAGAACTTCCCTTTGCAAAGTTAAAAAAAAAATATAGCAAAGCGTCTAATAAGTATACTGAAAACAATAATAGCACAATAGTAACAAAACATATTTTTGCTAAAGTCCTTGGCCCTGTTTTTCTTGAAATCTATATACTACTAGCTATTTGTAATGCTTATAGAAAGACAGGAATATGGCCACTTAATCTAAATGCTATTGATCCTGACCTTTTAGCCTCTTCATTATCAACTGAACGTTTTATTGATCCAAGTCCAAGTTCTGCGTCTCAAATATCTCTTCAGCCAATTTATTCTCATCAGTTAATTCATTCTCATCCTATATAGTTAAATGTAACTAGATTAGCAGAAGAAAATGCAATGCTTAAGGATAAAAATGAATTACTTAAAACTCAAATAGCATTAATAAGTGAAGAACTGAATACTTATAAGAATCCTGGAACTTGTTTTTTACGTTCGATCTTTAAATACCCTACTTCTTGTAATTCGCAAGCTAGTGGTTCTCAAGTAGCTTCTGAAGATCAATCTGAATCTTCCCCTTCTATGAAAAAAAGAAAAACACTCACATTTGCCCGACTTCTTATGAATGCAGAAAGTCTGCAACAACTGAAAGAAATGAATGAAGAAGTTGAGCGAAAGAGTGCAGAATCTAAATGAAAAAAAAAGGTAGCCGCTCAAAAAAAAGAGGCAGCTGCTTAAAAAAAAAAAATTGCCACCCAAAAGAGAAAGGCAGCTGCTCAAAAAAAAGCTACACGAGAACTTAACTTGGCATAAAAGACAAGGAAGAGGGAAAAAACTTAATAAAAAGCTCTATAAAAAAATAAAATAGAATTCGTCACAATACCTCATTATCTTAAATTTCCGATTTTTGGTATCATGTACAGTTGTGATGATCTTGTACTACTACTGTTAATCATGCCTTTTTATTTTTATTGGATTCGATTCTAAATATGCCATACTTTCTGTGATTTAAAATTTATAGTTTTATGATTGGTTAGTAAAAAGTTTTTTTTGTTGCAGGCTTAGCTTCGTCATAATACCCCGATTCCCCTTATATTATAATTTGTTGGGCTAATTTAATATTTTGGTTGATAAACTTCTAATTTGAAAATTTTAATTGATTTATATCAAATCAAATTAAATCAAATTTAAATAAGCATTTATTTGATTTGATTTGATCAAATTCAAATTTATATAATAACCAAATTCAAATTTATTAAATATTTGATTTAATTTAATTTTGTGAAACTTTAAGGCCTCTTATCCTTTTTTTCTTCTATGAAGCTCTTTAGCTGTACTTTCTTTTCCCATTATGACCAAAATCTTTTTTTTTTTTTTTTATATCAGTTTTGTATTTTTTTTTTTCTTTTAGAGTTAGCTTAACTTCTTGTTTTTCTATATCTCATATTAAATTCAATAATACTTCGCAGCTTATTTAGTATTATTAAAGCTTTTTTTTTTTTTTTAACAGTATTAGCAAAATCTAATTTTAATTTAATAGTAAAATTTTTTAAACCAACCTGTTAATTTGAACAAATTTTATAATACTGGTCTAAATTAAGTTTTAGATTATAAGGTTATTATGGTCATAAGTCATGTAAGTCATATAGGTCATAAAAGGTTATAGCCCAACACTAATGGCGACAGACAGAAATTGCAAAGCTACATTTTTGATATTCTGATCAACACAGCATCAAAACCAGAATTTTTGGTATCACTTGCATAGAAATTCCGGACAATTGAATTTTTCCTGATCGTGCTACGTTACACCTGATCTTGAAATTTGCGAAATTTTTTTAGGATGGTGGTCAGATTTTTATCGCCTATCGATAGATAACGACAACCATTTTAGAAAAAAAAAAATGATTCAAAAGTTACCATTACGAATTTTTTCACAAATAAAAGTTTCAAAATTCACAACTATAACTTCATCATATCATGGAATTATACCATCAATTCAATTCAAACCGATAAACTTAAATATACCTTATCGTTATTCATCATTAAATATTCATCAACGATTATTTTCAACACCAGTTACTACACCAATAACAACTACACCTGTAAAAAAGTCCAATACAACAACAAAAATTAAAATTCGATCACTTCCTGAAATATCATCAAAGACACCACGTTATATTGCTTATGGTATAATTGGAATTTCACTTTGGGCTACTGCTATAGCATTATCATTTAATTATCAACGTATAAATAGTAGTACAGTTCAAGGAAGTCTATCTAATGTAAAACATCATCCAAAAGCTATACAATACTTAGGACAAAATATTAACGTTACAGCACCTCGATGGTGGCCTTTACCTTCACAATGGACATTTCCTTGGGTTTCAGGGAACATTAACCAATTAAAAGGAATTGTAAATTTTAAATATTGGGTAGAAGGAAGTGATGGTAAAGAATTTTTCATTTTACTCTTTTGAACACATTGATTATAGATTAATAAATTTTTCTAAAAAAATAGGAAAGGGTATTGTGAGATATCATTCTATTCGATCATTAAAGGATGGTGGGAAATGGAAAGTTGTTGAATTCACTTTAACAACAGAAGACGGTAAAATTATGTCATTGGTTGAATAAATATACATTACTGCATTAATTGCTATAGTTTTTTTTTTTAAAAAAAAGTTTCAGCAAATTATATCAAATTTTTTTTTTGACTCCTAAGAAAATATTTTACAATTGATTGAATATGTAAAATATACTGTATAACATGATATTAAATACAGTTGAATTTACGTAATTGGCAATTGTAATTGTTCACCATTTTCAGATGCCCAAATACATAAATCAATATGATCATTAATTACTGAATTATTGATCGTTCTATTTCCACAAATTGGGCACTGAACAATTTTCGTTGCATGAGAGGTTGAAGAGGAATTATTTATAGAGTCATCTTTAAGATCAGTTAATTGATTATGTTCATGTCCACTATCGACATCGGTAAATCGTCTCTTGAACTTTGGACCTTGAGATTTCTCTTTATCAGCATCTTTACGAAACCATTGAAACCATTTATCTAATAATGAATTACTACCACTAGCTTTATCATTTTCAATTTTACGTTTTCTAACTTTTTTTGTTACTTGATTCTTTTCTTCTTTTTGAGGTTCAGCAATCTTATGATAATTACCACCACATGATTGTTTGTGTTTTCCCCACCAATTATCAGCAGGCTGTGGAGGCCTATGACGCGAATAGAATACAAAATAAAAATGATATATGTATTTATAACTTTATTTTTTAAAGAAATCAAAATTATACCAATTATACCTATTCATAGCACGTTGCACAATTCCAAAATAAGGCGCTTTATACTGGCATGGACCCTAATAAAAATTTTAAGGTAAAAACATAATGGTATAAATATAACGATAAATAAATACAGAAATATATATCGATATATATATATGTGTATATAAAATATGTACATCACACTTCCAGACATGTGTCCGGTAATAATTAACCTCGTTATGAAATTTATGATACACGGATATTTTTGTTCCAGCAACAGCGTTTATACGTTCCATGTGTTTAAGAAATTCAGGACCGTGTGCATCTTAATAAGAATGATAAGCAGAATATTAGAATATGAAACGGACGCCTCACATAGTCTAGTTAATGCTTATTGTGAGATTCAACGATAAAAATTTATAAAATTCATATGAAAAAGTAGAAAACTAAAGTATATATAGACAATTGTGGGCGTGATTATAGCAAGATGCGACTGTATAAAATACATACTATGATCTTTATTATTATTCGTTACAAATAGATAAGCATGAATCATTTCGTGTAATAAAGTTTCAATCATATCCTGGCGAGTTCGAAATTTCAATAACGGTTCGCTTAACCTTATACTACAATAACCACCTGCTTGATAATAACATAACCCAGCACACTTATTTAAGAGTATATTGATAGTTAGAGGCATATATTTCATAAAATTTAAATAATAAAATAATATAAAATAGATATACCCATACCAAAGTCATTTTGGTTGACCATTTAACCTCAACACTTTTCAAGCATCCCCAAAAATATTGTTGATCGAAAGCGATAAAGAGACCATGAATATCAGGATATAAATCTTCGGGATTTTCATTACTTTCCAAGTCTAAAGAAAAAAAGGGATAAGTATATCAAAAGTTGAAATATAAGTATTATATAAAACTAAAACACAAACCTTTTTCGGCTTGCAGCTGACGCGCCAGTGCTAAAGAATTCACCTCCTTGATAAAATTATTTTCTTCTTCTTCTTGTAGTTTCTTTGCGAGTATTGCATCGTTATCTTCGTTACCTTCCATTACAATGCAGTATCGTTATTGTTTTGCATTTTACGCGCGTTATATATTGAACCGGGACAGATGATAATGCAGATCCGGTAGGTTCCGAATCAAAAATTTTTAAGTTCACGTGAGTGTTAACGAAGGGTAGTGCTAACGTACGATGGATATACTAGGAGTCAATGAGAACCAGCTCGACCTGTTGATAAACAGGTCAAACAAATCAAATGTTAATAATGGCTCCATTCAGAAACTATTCTCAATGGAGCAATGAAACAATGCCAATGGATAAATTTACCCCAACCTAAGTTGATAGCAAAAGATATAAAAAAGGTGGTTTCTAAGTGAATTGGATAATATACTGTCGATCCTCATGTGATAGTGATGATTAATAAAATACATATACTATTAAGCGCCAAATTTCTATATAAACCTTTAAGCTAAAAAAAGCAGTAAAATCGGTTAATTTTGTTAAAATTATTTATTGCTTTGTAAATATTGAATACTTTTTGATATCCGGTACTGTACAAATCTTTTTTTTTTAGTGATTGTAGTCGATTTGATAACCGATAAATCGATTAGTCGATTAGTCGACTAAGTTAGTTGATTTTTTAAAATTTGACTTGGTTGATTTTTGGCTATCGCTATGTATATAGGAAATGGTTGGATGATTTTAGAAGAACTAACCAATTTATAAGAGTGGGTGCAAGGATACTGTATCGATATTATATATATATATTTTTTATTATATAAGGCAATCGAATTTGCAAGGTTAGCTTGCTAAGCCAATTTTTAAATTTTGGCTTAGTCAAGTAGACAAATTTAGGTCGACTACAAACACTAACTTTTTTTATTCTCACTATTATTAGTTTTATTGAGTCCTTATAAAGATATTGGCATATTTAGGTGTCTCACACTTTATAAATTGAATTTCATTCACAAATCTTTGTTATATACATATATATAAAATGAAGTTAATAACTCATTTTCTTTCTTCGTCTCGGAGGACCGCAATACGCCCATTTTTTCGGTCATATACAACAGACCCACCACTAAAGAGGCCAAGACCAGGACCAATTCCTTTAGGAGATCCTAAAGAACAAAAAGAATTTGAAGAATTAGTACGTAAAAATCAAGGATCATTTACCAGCGCTATAATGGCAGTTGAAGAAGAGGAATTACAAGCACATCCAGATGCAAGAGAGAAGTTACCAACAGAGTTTGAAGGTGAAAAGAATCCTGTTACAGGTGAGATCGGAGGGCCTAAGCAGGATCCTTTGAAACACGGAGATTGGAGTTATGGATCGAGAGTTACAGATTTTTAGCATTATTATCATTATAATAAATTTTTTTTTTTTTTTTGTTTGAATGAAAGAATCATTATTATATTTTACATCACGCATAAATTGAGGCGTAAATATCCTTTATTAAATATATTAAATATATTAAATAAATGCAATTTATGTAATGTACAAAAAAATAATTAACATATATACAAAGCATTGAATCTTTATTAAAACTTATTGAATTCTGCATAAGGACAAGGCATAACTTAATGATTATGATTAAATTAAGATCCACATTACATTAGAGTTACATAACTTTGGCGCATAGTTAAATATTTTGTCACGTTGGACTTAATAGTGAATAACAATACAGCATTATGATTACATGTACAATGCTATAAACGATAAATACAATAGAAATTTAGGATGAATTGCCGAAATTAAAAGTCGTGTAACCGAGTGTGAGCATAAATAAACATAAATAAATATATAAGGTGGTTTTCGCGAATTCTTTTCTTGTTCATCGTTATCTTTATTAAAAAAAAAAAAAAAAAGAACATGAGTCTTAAAGCCAATATTTCAAAGGCTCTGGTAAAGAAATTAATAGGTGGTGGAGATTCATCAAATTCAACGGAACGTAATATTGATGATAACGCACATAAATCAACTAGAGGTAAAAAAAAAAATCGATGGAAAATACCACCAGGCTTAACAGAAAAAGAAGCAAGAATTCTTAAAAAAGTGAAAAAAAGAGCCGAGTTTTTAGATATTGGACTTTGTGTTTGTTGTTGTTTAAAAGTTGGATTGGATCCAATCCTTGGTACATTTTTAATATATTTATTATTTAATTTTTTATATTTCTTTTAAATTTCTTGAGTAATTAATTCTGCTTTTTTTCGTATGAAGGGTTAATACCAGTAGTCGGTGAGTAAAAGTGATGAACTAAAGTATTAATGACGTCACGTATTTAATTTTAACCAAAAACTTTTTTTCCAGGTGATTTCATGTCCACATTTTTATCTTTAATGTTAATAAAAACTGCAAAAGAAGTTGATTTACCGAAATATGTCATTAGTCAAATGGTTTTTAACGTATTCATCGATTTTATGGTAAGTTTTAATATTATTTAATTTTTCACCTTCCCTGAATTTATTGAATAATTTTTTTGGAATTTGTTCTTTGTATAAAGTTGGGGCTGGTACCCGTGATTGGTGACGTCTTCGATTTCTTATATCAAGCCAATATACGAAATGCCATTCTTTTAGAGAATTTTCTTGTCGACAGAGCTAAAAATAGGTCTGTAGTAATGGAGGATGGAAGTGTTGAAGTCTTACATCAACCTGAAAGACCTGAAAAAGCTGCACCCGGGCGGGATCGTAGTGGCAGATATTAATTTAATGGGGGTTTTTTTTTTTTTTTTTTGAACGAGATAACGCTGGACATTCATGTGAATACTTTAGTACATAGCAACTATCAAAATATAATAATTCTGCATTTTTATTCATTGAAAAACATTCAATAAAAATTATGTAATAACTACCATAAGTTGTAACGTACATGCGTATAGTACACACATGTGTGCATATTCGCCCTGTAGGCTTAAAGTTTGTGACTTTGCGCATACTTATTTACGAAATAGACTAAAATGTATTACGTAGCCACATAAACAACCATGAAAATTGTTTGAATTTTCATTATATTATTATACAGTTTATATATTATATTATAGTATTATATCGATGGTTCTTTGCTGTCTAGTAGATCACGTATAACCTGTATATATTTCTCTTGGGTCTTATTCTAAAAAAAATTATTTATATATATATGACTTTAAATGCGTTCATTCCACCTAACATCATTATTACACAAACATTTTGCTGCTCGACAATCTAAGTGATATGCTTGTGTGGCAGAAAGTTTAAAGTTACATTTTTTTGATATTTATATATTAGTGAATTCTTTAAAATTTCTGTATCACGGAGCATAGCTTCTTGGCTATTACAACCTATCAGATGTACGTACGGCATATACGTACTTTAACAGTTAAAAATTTTAATATTTACAGTAAAATACGCGGTTTAATAAAGTCTGAACTGAGGCACTAATTAATTCACGCCCTTGAAAATTGCGTATTTAGTTTCGAAATAACGCCCATGTCCCTAATTAACGCGCACCATGTAGTATATCAGGGAATTTATAATACTGTAATATAGTAATATAGTAATATAGTAATAATCGGGTTTTGAATTTGACTCTTTAATGCGCAGAAGTCCAATAACGATAATTATTTAGCGTGCTTATTAGACTATTAACACGTGACATTACATGTCAAGTTGTTTTCTGATTGGCTACTATTGACGTAATTTTACCCGATCACAGGGATAAAAACGCGAAAATTTTAATTTTCCAGTATTAACACTTACCAATTTTCTCCGGCTTAACGAACTAGTAAGTTGTCACTATCGCTTCTTCATATGAATTAAATATACTGTATTTAACTTTTTGTGTAATTTCTTGGGAGAAACGCATATGGCCATGCGAGGGGGGAGCATGGTTGACATTCCTTCGGGAATGTGGTCACGGTGCAGTATAGGCCTTTGTATGTGCGTGACCTAGGGCGTAACGGTTTGTATTTTTACTATTTTAGTTTAAGTTATTTGTTATACCCAATTTTACGGCAGGGTTTTGGTTGTTATTTTAGCGTTTCTAGCGTGATTCTACTCAAGAAGT